TCATTAGTCATTTCTGTAAAAGAATGACACAAACGTTAAAATCACGTAGATTTTAATAGAGTACAAAACCACAAAGGTTTTACTCTTCCAGAAACAGTAAGTACAAATACAGAAATCAAATTAAATTCCTTAAGCTTGTTAGTAGACTGTATTTGTAAAATAATTCTGGAAATATAAATGAGTATAAACAGAAATGAACATAAACAGAAATGACATAAAACCAATTCGAGCCCACTGAATTCACAGTGTTTCCTTAAGGAATTTAATCCCCTCCTAGTACCCAAGGTTATGGATTATTTCCTCCCAGGATAGAACGAATTACACACTGGTGTAGTGGTACTTCAAACCCCAGTGTTTCAGCGAACACAAAGTTCGGTAGCAAATCACACTTACTTTTTGCTTTGTTTGATGCTAAAAGTATGCAGAAGAAGGAGAAGAAACTCAGAAAATCGTAGTAAAATTCTGAGCAGAATAGTGTTGTATTTATAGCCAAAGTTAGGCTGAAATCTGAAGAGGTGCAACTCTTCAGAATGGCTGTTTATGCAAAACGCCCACAGCATAAATGTCATTACATAAATGGCCATTTACTCAATAATAAAGAGGGAAAATTGAAGAGGGTAGTTACTTTTCTGTTACCAAAACAGAAAAACGGATTGGATTTAATATTAATATTTTGTTATTAAAACAAATATTTAATAACATCAATCAATCGATCATTTGACCAAATCCGAATCCGAATCCGAGCCGAGCGACGACGACGACGGCGCGAGGCTTGCCTTCTTCTCAACTCTTTAAGAGCTAGAAGAAGAGCAATTGCTTATATACCCATAAAAAACCTCTTCCTCTTCCAATATGGGACAATGCCCATTTGCCAAGGGGGGCAACTTAAAATTTCACTCAAAAATTTTATTTCTCTCCATTTCCCATTCACCCTCTTTTAAGTATTTAATATATTAATTAAACATATCCAAAACCCAACAATATTATGAACAAGGGCCATGGCAGATATGGAGTTATTTATAGAGACAAATTAGAGAATGATGATTGTGAAGTTGACTTGGTTGATTCGCCTAATCATCCTCAAAGGTGGAGACCTCTAGATTCAATTAGGAAGTCAATGGAAAAGGTTGTTTCTGTAAGTGTCGACATTTCTATTCTCAGGAGCAAGTGTTTTAAAGTGAGCTTTGTGTCACATGTCAAATTTGGCACTGGGAATATTGTGCCTATTATAAAGGCCTTGGGTAACTGGAACTTTGCTGGGAACACTCAACATCTGTTTTCATATATTGATCGTCAAGTTTTGTCGGGAGCTCTCTACCCTCCTTGTGGATTTTTTGAAAGGGGATATAAAGAGATGGAGGGTGCAATTCTCTCTGGTGTGATTGTAGGACTTGAGGGCCGAGAAGCTGCTGTTATTTTTAGAGGAGTTCAAAAATTTGAACTTAGTGAAACTGTTCGGAAGAGAGTAGAGTCAATTCGACAAGTCATGTTGCTTCTTCAATCAACAGATGAAAGATGCACCAACTGCTCTTCATTAGACACGGAACGGAAATATAAGCTGCTTGAACTTCTTGGAGTACAAGCACATAAGCTTGGGTTTAGTGAATTTGAAATACATGTTGGCTTAGATAAAGCTAATGCAATTGGAAATAGAGCTTCAGGATACAAAGTTGTTCCAAGCACTGGAAAGGCAGTAGCAGGTGTGATTACTTCTTCATTTTTAAATATCACCCTTGAGGACGAGGGTGGCTTGATGGGGAAGTGGATTCTAGACTTTTGTCCGATTCATTTGCGTGATCAAATAGTTTATTCATGTTCGTCGGCTGGAATTTCAATGCAATGGCCTAGAATACTATGTATCTCTAGAAATAGATATTATGGTGGCAACAACGATCAACTTAGTTGTTGAAGAGCAGCCAACAGATGCTTATATTGGGATTTCTCTAAGTGTTCATCATGTTGTCAAAGGAGATAGTTATGAGGACCGTACAACTGACTCCAATGCTTTCTTAGCCAAACTATTAACTAATCATGTTGAGAAGACATTGATGAAGCAGACAGTAATAACCTCAGTGTATGTGGTTACATATGTCGGGTTGCGTGAGCAAATCAAGGTAATATTGGAGAATAAAGGTCTTATCAATGATGATAGCTTTCTATTTAGCGCATTTTGCGATGCTGCTGAAGTGACATTAGCTTCTCTTAGGGAGTTAGTTCAAGCTGCTCGTGGCACAATGACTTGGCTAGGTGACTGTGTTAAGAGGAGTTCTTCAGAAAAGCAGCCAATGTAATGGACGACACCTTTAGATCTCCCTATTGTGTTGTTTTACTTTAAAAATCAGTGGCATGATATAAGAGCTTCTCTTCAAGCAGGGGTGGCTCAAGAGTTAGGCTAGTAAAGCAATTGCTTTAGGCCCCCTAAATTTTTGGGCCCCAAAAATATTTTAATGAATTTTCTATCTTATTTTAGCTTAGACAATATTGAAGTTTACAAACTCCTCATAAAAGTAGAAATAAAGACTGTCTATTTTTTAACAATAGAAATATTTTAGAACTTTGAATTAAGATACTCAAGTCTTCATATTGGTAACTGATATTTTTTACAATAAGATTCATAGTAACACATTGTAAATACGTGGCTAACATATTAGTAACTTGAATTTTCTTGCCAATGTAAATATTAGTACTACGTATTATATTTTGTAAGATAACTAAATTACAGACAAAAAGAAAGGAAAAAACCAAAGTAAATATTAGTATTACATTTATAAGATAACTACAGTATAAACAAAACAAAAAAGAAAAAAGACGGCGCCTTTTGAAATTTGGCTTTAAGCCACGAATTTTATTGAGACGTCCTTGTCTTCAAGTTTTGGCTTTGCAGCACAAGGGTGATTCAGTTGAGGATAGGAAACAGAGAACTGTGTTTCCTCCTAACTGTGTGCACTCACTGGATGATTTTCATATGATGTGGACTGATGTTACTTGCAGAGATGTTGCACTACGATTTGCACGAGGGGAATTAAGCGGGAGTGCTAAGTATGGAATTACTCCGAACGAGGAACTTCTGGGTGTTCGTGGGATTTGGCAGTAACAATCTCATTCTATGGACAACTCCTACAGGCTATTTAGTTCAGTGAAGACTCCTAAACACTTTAGAAGCATAAAAGAGGCATATCAATTTGCAGTAGTCATTGATGAAAATTGAAAAAAACTTACCAGCTGTTATGATCATTCCCAAATAATACACAGATTCCATTGCAAGAACTTCTGGAATCAGTAGTTTTATCTTGGCCCCAAGTAAATCTGAACCTTGTAGTCTCATTCAATTACACTCAATGGCATATGAGGCAGTGCTTGATTCAGTAATATTTATTCAGGAACTTGGACAAGGGGATCATGTTGAATTATATGCTAATTATTCAATGCAGAAGGTTCTTGCAACATTAATCATTTATGTTGGCCTTGTGCTAAGTCATAACGCGGCTTCTGCTATGGACATATGGGTCCTTTTAGCCTCAAATTGTTTACAGAAGCTTGTTCCACCTTCTTTTCATTTACACCCTCGAGGGTAAGGGTGATTTGAAGGAGGGAGATCTGATACGATCTGGAATTGGATCGGAAATTGAATGCTTATGGGAGTGGTACATAATGCTGAGAGAGGAGTACTTAACAGCTGGATAGAAGTTAATTACAAGTATTAGAAGTTTACATTTTAGTCCACTTATCTGTTTAGTAGAAGAAGTATTATTTACACATTGACCACATTGTATTTTCTACTTATAGTTTTCATCCTAGTCCTTTAGACATCAGTTGTGTATTTGTAAGGAGCTAAGCCTCCATTTTATGTCATGAATGAAATTATCCTTTGCTTTTTGCCCTAATTTCCCTTTCTTTTCTTAGCTTAGTTAGCCGTAGCTAGTTTTTCTTCCTTTGAATTTCAGCTTTCGTATCAATAAGGCTCCCTCCCATTAATATTTTAGGCGAAATGAGAGTATATTGTGCCGAAGTGGCTAGCTCTTTCTATCTAGTCTTTCGAAAACTAGATATAAATAATTCGATTATTTTAGGACAAGATTAGATTAAAATGTTTGTGTTGGTGGGTATGAACAAGAATATAATACTTCCATATAATTATTTTATAAAAGATTTAATACTTATCTAACTAAGCTATGGAGATATATATCAATACTTTCACAAATAGCTAATTATGGATTTTCAAATTGAGACATTTCATTTTCAAAATCTTATAGATTGCAATTTAATTTTTTAGTCACTATTGACGTATCGAATAGTAAAGTGGAACTGAATTGTGTAATGTGAATATCAATCAATCAACTATGGTTTAACTTACACATAATATATTACATATAATTGAACCATACATACAATTAATCCTTATATGTTTTGTGATTCTCAATTTTCAAATGATAGATAATAAACAACATCTCAATCTAAAATGCAACAAAACTATAGATAATTGTATTAAGTCTAAATTTTGATCATGACTTAACGCTCCAAGACAATTGACCAAGTATATACAATAATATGTATATTTACTACGTACATACTAACACCACTCTCTCAGCTCAAACGCCAAGAATTTACAAAAAATTCAATAGAATTCTTAACTTAAAAAATAAGTCGCAACCTAAAAACTTTAGTTTTGGTAATAACCATTTACGGAGTATAATATTCCAAATTTGTAATTAAGATTGAGGGATCATTTTGTGGCCTAAAAATTGGAGCTAACTGAAATATCTGAAATAGGATACTGTGTTTATCATGCAAAGCCAAGTGGGGATGATTCATGAATTTTTGCACTATAGTGTGATTCCCTAGCGGGACCCGCTGACCGGCTAAAGTGGGCCCGACACAAGGCTCACCGCGCACCTACATCTTCTCAATAATAAAATATTCCCCTCTCTCTTTCTCTTCTCTCTCCTCTTCGCTTTGGGAACTCCAGGCGCACCTCCGACAACACAAAGCAGGAGTTCAACGCAGAATCAAACCAAAACCCTACCTTGTTTCCTCCGTATTGGTATGTCCATAGATTTCTCAGTAAATACTGTTGTATAAGTGGAATTGTACCTAGCCCTAATTCTTGTGCGCCACAATTGGTTGTTGTGATTTATTTTGCTGGAATTTGAGCTCTTTAACTATAATTAAGCTGAGTAGAATTGGATCAATGAGTTAAGCTAACTGAGAATTCGATAGATACTTGTGGATGAATTCGTGTCAAGTCATATAAATAGCCTTTACATACTTTTGACCCCTACGGTGGTGATGTTTTAACTTTAGGAAAAAAAGGGAAAACATTTTGAAGTCGTAATTAAGTGAATAATAAGTGTGATCTCTCTAACAACTTAAGTTTTTGGATGAGATGGTCGCACATTTTGACATGGTATCGAGCTTGGGTTCGAATCCTACGGCCACACCAGCAAAATATTTCGGCCTATGAAAAAGAATTATGCCCACACGTGATAGGGCGCGTTTTGAGGCATATCTAAGTAATAAAATGTGCTCTCTCCGTTAGCTTAAGCTTTCAGATGAGATGGTCGTACACTTTAACAAAATAGAGAAAGCTCAATAGTAGTTCTCTTTGGTTGATATCTTACCTAAATGATACTCCTCTTTCTTCTTCTTTTGCCTTGTTAATTTTACCTTGTGAATTTTCAGGTGGTTACAATGTCGACTCCGGCTAGAAAGAGGTTGATGAGAGATTTCAAGAGGTTGCAGCAGGACCCTCCTGCTGGTATTAGTGGTGCACCTCAAGACAACAACATTATGCTTTGGAATGCCGTGATATTTGGGTGAGTCATATACTTAAAATGTGTCAAAGATGTGTTTGATGTCGGTTTGGGGAAGTTGTTTTCGTATGGTTTGAATAATCTACTTTCTGGTTTCTTTTCGTTTTGGTGTAACCTGCAGTCCTGATGACACTCCTTGGGATGGTGGTGAGTTATCCTTGCATTCGGTTGTTAGTGCAGAATGGCAGAAGAATGTTAAAGCGTAGTAGTTGGCGCACGTCCACTGTTTAATGCTTAGTTGTCTATTCAATTCAATGCTTTTTTAATCATCTCAGCCGTTCCCTTTTCTTAATCCTTGTCCCTTCCCCGGCCACAACTACGGAAAGAAAAATTTCTGATGAAATGGTATCAATCATCAAAAGGAGGTGATACGTATTCTAGTGTTGTAAATGGTTGAATCCTTTCTTTGATCTCCCAGTCCAAGACTCCAAGCATTCCCACTCATGCCTTTTCCATTTGCTTTTATTTTGTTGCGTATTACTCTATGCTTTCCGGTAGCTTTTGTTACTTTTCCCATCTTTCCGACATAATATGGATTGTATTTATTTTTCAAAATTCTCTTTGTTTTGACATGAATTAGCTAGTTTGATTGCAACTGTACCATTTGAGAACATCAGGTACGTTCAAGCTGACACTTCAATTCTCTGAGGATTACCCCAATAAGCCACCAACAGTGCGGTTTGTTTCTCGCATGTTTCATCCTAACAGTAAGTTGGAGTGGAAGATTTAATTTTTATTTGTTAAACCAAAGAATAGGGAAAGTTAATTTTACGTCTGGGATTTACCTTTTGGTTTTTTCCAGTTTATGCAGATGGAAGTATATGTTTGGATATTCTTCAAAATCAATGGAGTCCAATATATGATGTTGCAGCTATACTTACATCCATTCAGGTATAGGGCTGTAATTGATTTTTAGATGTCACATTCTTTCAGTTAGCCATGTCTAGGAAAAAACAGAAAAAGAAGTCTTGTTGCATAAGGATACATTTGTTTTGTCCTGAGCTACACTGTTAAAGCCGATGGTTGAAACTATCGCTATGCTATGAGAATTATGTGTTGGAAACTATTTAATCTAGCATTCCCATTTTTCCCTTGATGACATGACTTATTGGCGCTCATTTGATATAAATTGTTCATTTCTTCAGGAAAGAGAAAATGAAAAGGCATATGGAACTCTCACCACCACTTGTCTAAAAGAATACTTTTTCTACTTTGCATATATTTGGCTCACATGTCAAAAGTTTTACTCCCTCCATTCCAGTTTATGTTAACCTATTTCCTTTTTGGTACGTTCCAAAAAGAATGACCCCTTTCTAAATTTGAAAATGATTTAGCTTAAACTTCCAATGCTACCCTTAATGAGAAGCCTTTATAACCACACAAATACTCTGCACCCCTTTTTTATTTTTTAGGACCACAAATTTCAAAAGTCTTCATTTTTCTTAAATTTCGTGCCCAGTTAAACAGGTTCACATAAATTGGAATGGAGGGAGTATATAATTTCAAAAATTCCGTGCCCAATCAACCACATTCGCGTACAAATGGAACGGAGGGAATAATAGTTTTCAAATAACATAAGAATATGAGTCTTTTGATGTCTTTGGTTAGTGGAAAGTAGTGGCAGATGGAGTAGTAAACTACGGCTTCCATTGAACCAAATATTTGTTATAATATATATACAGAGCATAGATTAATATGAAAAACTACCAAAAATTTTATCGAATATCAAATTCTGAATCCATGATTTTTAGAAGTATAATGAGTTCAATGCTAAGAACCTTAAAAGTTGAACCCATCAAGTGTAAATCTTGAACTGCCCGCAGGAAGTGTCATTTGGAATATGACTTGCATTGTTGTTGTTTAATGCATATTACCTTCATGATATTCAATCTTATGTTAATTGATGCTTGCCTATATACTGAGAGTAATGCTTCATTATTGTCTCCAATTAACTATTGTTAAACTCATGGTAATGATGGGTTTTGTGGCTTGTTACCTTGATTATCTAGGCATAAGAGAAATCTTTTAGAGCTGATATGTTTTCTATGTCACTTGGAGAATAAAAGCTTTCTAGGAGCTGTTCTATTCGTCTTGATTAGAAAGGATAATATACTTAGTAAACATGCTTATCCATTCATGTTGATGGAAATTGCACTGTTTGTGATCATATATAATATACATACCTTGAAATAGTGTCTTCTATGGTTCACTGTTAGTGTTTTCAGTTGGAACTTGAATTATTAGAGCCATTCTATCTAGTAACGTGGTCACAATAAAGTCTTGTTTCTTTTCTAAAATGATTTTTTATAAATATACATTTTTCCAAATATTGTTCTTACTTTCAATAACGATTTCCAAGTGGAGAATGTTGGAATTGGACTGTACGTTGATTGTTTGTTGACAGAAAAGGGTAGGGGCTTGACCTAAGTCATAAATAAAATATATAAAGCGTAATCATCTTATTGAGTTGTGTGTGTAGATAAGTGAGGTCCAATTAATTATAGGCCTGAAGCTTCTCTATAAATACAGACCAACTTCCCTTCCTTAGTTATTGTAAGAAAAACCCTAAGCATATTTTGCTTCCTTTAATACGTAGTTAAGGGGTGTGATAACTCATCTCTATTAGTTCTCCCAGTATTGAGAGTACATGGTAATTAGAGATTGTGTACTTCAGCATAATTGTCGATTGCCACAGATGCTGGATCATGGAGCGAAACTGAATGTTTGTTTAACCTTAACTCGATCTTATGCTCGTATTTTGTGTCGTTCACTCCTATGATCGCAAGTAAATTTCGTACAACTTATTATCAGGTGCAAGTAATATTCTGCATGAAGATGTTTACTCAATCCATAACTACTGGTGTTTAACTTTACATGAATCCCTCTCACTACGCAACACCCACCCAAAAAAAGAAGAGAAAAAACTTAGAATCCTGTACGATGTTGGTGCTTGAATATATTGTATGAAAGTACATCCATTATTGGAGATTACTTGGAGTTGCGGTTCAAGTCATAGATCCCCAAGCAGAAGTAGAAATTGTTATTACGTGGATGATACACATACACATACGCTTAAGACTCTAGGCATATTGTCCTCCTACTTTGCCAGATTCTTCATGGAATCTGTGTCAAACAATTTTGCTTACCTTAAGTGAGGAGTACGCACTTAGGGTTTTGCACTCCTTAGTTTTAAGCATTTTAACTCTGCTGTACTGCAGCAGGGAAATAGTGCTGTTGGTGTTCTCAATTTGCTCAGAAGGATCTTGCTTGAAATTTGTTCATTAATTTGGACTATCCTTTGCTGGGTAGATGGAGAGGAGACAGGGTGGTAGTGGTGCTGGATTATACATATAGGATGGTCATTTCAGAGAGCAAAGTTGGTGAGAGGGCAAGATGATAATCCATAAGAAGTGAGTCAAGAGAGTTAAGCTAAGCCGTTTAGTATATCCTACTTGCCACATACGTAAAGAGGAATATTAAAAGCTTGAATATAAGACTATGGCGCTCTCGTACTTAGCCATAAATAAAAGAAATTTGAAAAATGAAAGAGTTACGAATAATTTAAAAAATTAAACCATGGGTTTCTTGTTTGCGAATGACTAACACTCTTATTGTTGCAGTCATTGCTGTGTGATCCAAACCCCAATTCACCTGCAAATTCGGAAGCAGCTCGGATGTTCAGTGAGAATAAAAGGGATTACAACCGCAGAGTTAGAGAAGTTGTGGAGCAGAGCTGGACTGCCGACTGATTCCAAGGAAGAAAGATGTCATTGCTGACCGCAAATCAGGAGCACCAGGGCTCATCTATGTTACATTTACGGATTGAAACCTCTTCTTTGAAATTTTATTGGAACACATTTGTTTTGGCCCTAGTATTCTGGCTTGGTGCTGTTTGCCTTATCGTTTGCTGCATTGCATTGACAAGCTCCTGTAAAATATGAATGTTCGTTTTGGTTTAAAAATGCAAGTAACTTTCTGTATGAAGGGAATTGGTTTTCATATCTTATTTCGTATCCCTTAAATTTGAATAGTTTCAAGCCGTTTAGACTTGAATCAAGCTGCACTGGTGATTATCGTAGAGTGAAGGAGACGACATTTTGTTGGTATTTAATCCAGCTATCAACTTCCACATTACTTATATTAATCAGCGTGTTGTTTATAAAGGTGTTCAACTTATGAGCTATTGATTATACTTTAAAGCAGCTTTAGTCTAGCAGTAGGGGTATTAAGGCAAGGTAGAGAAAGCTTTAATTAAACATGTAATGACCACGGTATTCTCAGTCTTTATGTGGTAACACGTCCATTTCTTTTTTCTTGGTAGGATAAATTCAGTACAAGATCATAGGAAAGCTAAGTATGCACTTCACAATAGGAACAGAGATGAATCCTATTCACCTATCAAATATAGCAGCGAAAGATTTATGCTTGTAACGAGGCAATATCACTACAGTCGAGGGGCTTTGGGCAGGCATGATTCAGAATCAGACACAAATTGCCTTAGTCGTTGATTTCACGCTAACTTTACAAAGATGAAAACCACTCGATTTGGAAGAAAAGATTCAAACAATAGGAGTTAAAGATGCAAATGCCCCAGAGCTTCACATCTTGAATCAAAAGCTAATTCAATACACTGATTCGGAAAATTTTATTTTGTGTCTCATACAACTTACACTAGTTGTATGAGGCAACTTTTTGTCTCACAGTTTTGTGGACCCAGAATTTTGTGGACCCAGCAGTGTAAGATTGGGGTCCACAATTTTGTAAGACAAAAGGGAGCCTCATACAACTAGTGTCCGTTGTATGAGACACAAAATAAAACTTCTCCGCTGATTCAGATGACAATCATAATGTCTACATCACAGGTAATATGTTTTAACTACTTCCAAGTAGTATTCAACTGCAAAAAGCATAGAAACTGTTGAATAAAAAGAACACTGTACGTCTAGCATAAATTTCAATACGAAACTAGACAGCTGTATAATGACTTTGGTAAATAAAATTAAAAAAGAAAGAAAAGAAAAGAAAAAGAAACAAACAAACACACCAAATACAATATTTTGGAATGCAGACTTCAGATCCAGACACTTGAATTTTGGCATCTGACATGATATACTAAAAGAAAGGCTTCCTGCTAAAAATTTCAGGTGCTAATCACTTCTGTTTGTGGAGTATCCTGCACAAGTGTTTTATACCAGTCAGTACAATTAAATGCAATAAAAAGATAGAACTTATACAACTAGGATTAATCAATCCATGAAAATAGCTTCTCTAGCTCGATCAAAATGAAGTTAAATCATATTTTGTCCGTACCAGATTTTCTTTATCTTCTTCGAGGACTTTCTCTGAAGTGCAGGCATTATCAGGCCCTGTAAAAGAAAAAATTAACAAACTTCTAGCTCAAACAGCTGAATGATTTTTAACCAAACAACGTATACTCATAACTACCTTCTCCTTGAGCAGATCTCCTTCCCTGTCTTTTCACCTGATCCTTATTTGGTTCTGGCTTAACAAGTTTTTGAAGTTTCTCTTTTGTGGTACGACTTCCAGCTTTTTGTGTAGATTTAGCAGTCGCAGCAATTTTGTTTACAGAATTCCGGGTCCTAGGTGTGCTTCCAATCTTTGAAGTCTTCTCCTTGATTGGTTCTTTAACTAGTTCAGTTTTAGTTGAATCTTTATTCAAGACTCTGGATAGCTTTCTCTGAGTGTTGGCAACAGAAGAAGAGCTATGTATGTCATCATTAGATGAACATGTCTCTTCTTTAGGCGCATGAGAGCAAGTCTCAGAGACTTGCAACTGCTGAGAATCTTGTAGAATGTTATAGCTATCAAACAGTTGTTTCACTGGCTCCTCAAGTTCCACAAGGCTGTGTCGTTGCACATAAGATTTCAGCTCATCTCTCAAACGTTGAAAAGGCTGAAATTGAAGCAGAAAAATAGGCAAATATTTTCAATCACATGGTTCAATTAACCAACTACAAAAGCCAAATTGTTGCTGAAAACTGAACATTTGTGTTTATCCACATTGCAATGCAAGGAAGGTGAACAATGAGCTTACTAATGGAAATCAACTACTTGATTTTAAGATATCGTTTCGGCTAAAGCAAGGAAATGTGGAGGAGATTAACGGAATAGTGAAGTCTGTAGCACTAGTCACTACCAAGTTTTCAAAGATTGTATTACGGTTGAAAGGGGGATCAACAAAGGTGTCACAAGAATGTCCATTAGCTCGTGATTTTTTCAATGAAGTAACTTTGTCATGTGGGAGAAGATATAGTATCATACCTCAGAGCCAGCCTCCAAAGCAAGTCTGAAAAAGCCAAGGGAAATTGAATGCTTAGCAGCAGATTCAGAAAGCTTAATCTGTGATAGCCAATAGGAAGCTGAGGATATAAGGTCATATTTCCTTCTAATTGAGGACTTTGAAGCAATTGAAAGTGGTGTATCTGATTTTCCTTGGTTACTAGTTGATCTCTTTGCTCTAGTCTCAGAAATGGGAGTTATAGTACCAAGTGGTCTAGAAACCGGGCTGGCGATTGGCTTGGAGGGAACAGACAGCCTTCTTGGAGGCTTCGCAGATTTTTCCTTACCAGAGAGATGAAGGGAAGCAGCACTCTTACTAATACTTGATGCAGGTCTTCCCCTGAAATACAAGTGAAACAGCTAGTAATGTAAGTACACACATCAGGGAAACAGATAGTTAGGCTTAGAAATTAAAATAAGAATTGGGAATACTAGGAAGAGTTGCTGCATCTTTGGCAACCTTAGTCTGATTTAGTTCACTTTGTTTAGAATTTGTTGAAGGCGGAGAACAAAAAAGAAAAGAAAATCACCATTCTTTTGCTAGTAGATATTGTGTCTCTAACATTAAATGCAACAAATTTTCTCCAAACTTGCATACCTCATGATTCAGGATAAAACTGACATCAGAAATCAGTAGAATATTCTGCAAGGAGAAAACTAAAATTTTCTCTCTGGAATCGAAACTAATTTTATTGGAGGAGTTTGATTCTACACTGTAAACTGTATGCAGTTCACACAGAAACTACCACACATTAAAAGCGAATGCGAGTTAAAACAGCACAACCAGCCAAGTGAAAGGTAAGAAGACTGTAGCACCTACCATATTTCTGCTTTCTTTCAATTTATACATAAAAACTAAAGTTTCAATAACGTACTGCTGTTATTGTAGGTACATAAACATTTCTACGCATCTGCTGATTGTTTTAAGCCACATACTGTTTAAAAATAAGTCTTCGTTGCAAGTATCAGCGGCATTAAAAAAGGGAAATTCAAAAAACAGGTGATCAAGGTTGAGAACTTTTCACTGTATCATCCTGGGCGGACATATAGTGAAGGATATACGTGAAAAGTTCTGAAAGTATTGTAAATTTTAAGTTCAGAACCCATATTTTCGAAGAATCCAGAACATTGAGCCCCTTATATTTAAATTCAGGATACGCCTCTGACACCATGTTACAGGCAAATCAGTCAACAAACGATCATTGGATCAAATAAGATTTCATCTCATTTGACATGGCAGAAGATCATATAATCAATTTCATTAAGATTTTTCTTATTTCCAGACAAAGACAGTAACAGATAATAAGTGATATCCTAATTGTTAAACCCGGCTGAGTTGGTAAAACACCAAGAAAAAAAAATCCACTCAACTATATATCTGCATTCAATTGCCCTTGCACATCGCAATTTCAAATCAAAATTCATCTAACGTATAGATGCAAGTGTATCTATAATCTAAAATGAAGTAGATAAATAAGATATCTACATGAATATATATAGATTGAGGGAGAGAAAGAGAGAAAGACCTTGCAGAATTAGCTGAAGAGTTGGAGGAATCAGTCAGAGGCGGTTTCTCCTCCTTTGATTTAGATGCCGATCGCAACGGATATCGCAGAAGTTTCGATGCTGATCGCCTAGCATTGGCTGCACAAAAAAAAGTTCAAACACATATAACACATACAGATGCATAAAATCAAATTCTAGCGATCAAAGAGAAATTAAAAGAGTGATACCAGAAACAGAGGATTGATCTTTAGCTGACTCTTCCATGATGAATTCTAGGGTTTCTAGAAGATAGAAACAAATGATATGTGAAGATTGGATGAAATGAAAATGAAGAAATTGTTGCTTATATACAGCGTTGTTTGAGCGGGAAATGTCACAACTGCTTTAAAATCAAATCAAAAGTCGGGAATATTAGAACGGCTCCTTGGGTTGGGCCCGTCTTGTGGGCCCAATACAGGTCTGCAATTTTGGTTTTCAAATTTTGAAGAATACCTTACCGTTAATACAGATGTGTTATTTGACGGGCTGAGTTGGCAGATTCGACTCAAAATTAATAAACCTAATCTATGAGTAGATTATGAATATATGCCTTCACTAATTCACTTAAGCCTTTATCACTTAACCATGACTTCTTCCTTTTAAATTTGTATTCTCATACCAATTAATCAATGGTTAGCGGTCATGGGCATATTATTGCATGTTGCTTTATGCTTGTTTTCTTTTTGACGGAACAATGATTTTTGGGTGCATTCGTTTTGAGAATTTGACTTACAAGTAATAGTGTTTCAGCATGCAAATCGATGTCTGTTTGTGAATTTGAAGACACAATTTGAACTTTAATTTTAAGCAGAAGTTGTGATTTAAATGTATATTGTACTATACTCCTTCACCCCAAAATTATATGTATATTCTTTTTGTTCTTAAATTTTCCAATTCGGAAAAGGGCCATATACTCATGTACGATTATAAAGGTTTAAATGTACCCCTCGTTATACTTTGAGTCCATATACACCCCTGTCGTTATACTATTGGTTAAAATATACCCCTTTTTCGTTAAGTTTGTCCAAAATAGATATCAAATCCTAGGTAGCACTAACATTTAATGAGGTGGATGCCAGTCACTTGAGCGCCCCTAACCCATTTTACCCCTCCCTTCTATTTTCTTTTTCCACCACTAAATTTTCATTCCCCTCCGCCACTATTGCCACAATTACCACTACCATGAAAAATATTGTATTTCAAATTTTAGTCTTTTATATATGGATTAGGGGCGGCGAGAGGGCATATGCCATGTGGCATCTGGCTCATCAAATATCAGTGCCACGTCGGATTGGATGTCCACCTTAGACAAACTTAACAGAAGAAAGGTATATTTAAACCAATAATATTACGACGGGAGTATATTTGGACTAGGAGTGGCAAAAGGTCGGGTCGGATATGGTTCGTGCCGAAAACGGGTAATGAAAAAATGGATAAATTATTCGATCCGACCCATATTTAATACGAATAAAAAACGGTTAACCGGCGGATAATCTGGGTAACCATATTATACATGACTTCTTGCATATGATCACTTTTGGGAGAATTCTTAGTCTACCTAACTTGAGGAACCCCCAATTTGAGGCTTTATAAATGTAAAAGTTAGACCAATTGGTTACCTATTGGTTATCCATTTTCTAAATGGATAATATGGTTCTTATCCATATTTGACCGGTTTTTAAAAAGTTCATTATCCTTGGAGTGTACATATTTGCGGAGAGACCATGGGTTCACGTGTTTCATAATCTCCCCTATAAATTTACCCTTGACCACAACACATGAAACCAGAGACTCCAAACATAAACAAATACTCTTCTGTTTCAATTTATGTGAACTTATTTTCTTTTTAGTCCGTATCAAAAAGAATAATCACTTTCCATATTTGAAAACAAGTACACCACAAGTTCAAAAGTCTTCTCTTTTTCCTTAAACTTTATGTCCAAACAAGTAAATTCACATAAATTAAAACGGGAGAATATTACATTGTAAAATTTCGGATTTTCATTCAAATTTATGAGTCCTCTCAGGTAATTTTCTTCGTTCAAAAGTAAAAGAAGTGAAAAGAAAGACATGTTAATAAATTAGGATGCTGGCAGAACATGGAGCACCCATTGTATTCTTGCCTGGAAGAAAACATCCCATTCTCATTCAATTCGTGCATTCCCTACATTACATAATTACACCCTCATTAATTCAGTACCGGTTTCGACTTCGAGAGGGTACATCTCTAAACGGAGTATAATGAACGGCAGAAGAGCACTTATGCACTGGTTTGCAAGGTCAATCAATTTTTTCATTCGTTATGTTAGTATAGATGACAGGTTATGTCTATCCAAGTATTGTGGACTACAACCGGGGCGGTCCTTCCATAAAGTAAGGAAAGCAACCGTTTTAGGCCTCATATTTGTGGGGGCCCCATTTTTTGTTACACCTAATAGACTATGTATAAGTTTAAAAAAAAAAAGTTCTGTATATTGAAAATGTTTGATTTCTTTCTTTATAATAAATATAAAAAAGAAAGATTTGCAATCGCTATGATTTCTACCAAGGAAAATAAATATCGTACCTAGATTTAATAAGAAACATGTGATATATAGGAAGCAATAATTTGATGCGAATGTTGATAATGAAATCTCAAAAAATTTCGAAGAGTCCTTTAGAGTTGATTACTTTTATACATAATAGACAAGGTAATTTTTTCACTTCAAATTAGATTTGAACAATTCGAATCATATGAAAATATTTTGGTTTTCAATTTGGCGGTAAAAACTAAGATCAATAGATGTTGGAAATTTGAAAAAATATTGCCTTAAGCTTGAATATTCCTTAAAGCATAATAATCAATTCGATATTGATGGTTTAAATTTTTCTTCTCAATTAAAAATATTAAGGAAAATAGTACAATTAGAAGATAGCAGTTTAATTGATATACTTAGTCAAGTAAAAAGATTTAATTCTTTTTTCAAATGCCTAAATTGCTTATGGAATAATCTCAATAACTCATCTTACCGTTGTTTCAGCGGAAGAAGTTTTCAAAATTAAAATTGATAAAATATTACCTAAGATCAACAATGTCACAAGAAAGGTTAAATGGATTAGCTATATTGTCAATTGAGAAATACTTATTAAGAGTTATTAATTATAAAAAAATTATTAATAACTTTGTATCTAAGAAAAGCTAAAAGAAATAGACTTCAAATAAATAATATTTTTTTAAAGTTAAGGACCCCATAAAGTTTGGCTTTAGGCCACAATACACGCCGGGCCGCCCCTGTTACAACTTTGAAGAATGAATGATGTGTTGTATAAAAAACTGCATGCCAAATAGCGAGTAGCCAACTTATAGGGGGTGGCGGACGGGTCGGGTCGGATATGGCACTACAATATTTTAGGCCTCTAGCCCCCCCCCCCCCCGAGATGTGTGGACTAAGATAGCAAGAAGTGTTGCATTTGGTCAAAGGCAACACTTTACGGCTTTAGGCAACGCTTTTGGGGGGAGGGGGGAGGGTGGCCTAAAGTACCGTAACCTTTGACTATTGGCCACACTTTGTATGTGTTGCCTTAGAAACCACGCTTTAAAAATGTGGCCGATACGGTATAAAGGCCACGCTTATATTTTCTCATATAGCCACGCTTTTATGACATAAGGCTACACATTTGAAGCGTGACCTTTGTCAGCTTATAAACTACGCTTTTCAAGTGTGGCTTCTAAAGCAACATCTATCATTAAATTGACAATCCCTATGGCCACACTTTCTAAGCGTGCCAATTTTGTCTACAGTATGAAGTAATTTTTAAATATTTATATTAGCCACAATTTTGCGGTTAAAAAATTATATGTGTTTACATTAAATTCTGTTCACATTTATTTCAAGTATATACATTATGATCTCAAGCATTAAATTAGATAATAAGTAACAGAATAAAAATAATTCAAATGCACATACTTGAAATAAACTTCAACAAAGAAACATACTGTGTGAACTATCCATAGTAATAAAGCATTGTTGGCTCAAGTAGTTCACTAGCAAAGAGCTCTACAAAATCAAATGTATTCATATTTATAGTATCAATAAAAATAAATATCACAACTGTTCAAAAGGTCTTCACCATTCACTTTAATAGATCAAATTCATTTGTAGCCACTATTTCCAATTGCATCACCCGCATTTTCCTATACATTTCAAATGAAATTAAAAATTAGAAAGAAACATATATATATATATATATAGGTTATATCTTAGTAAGAACTAGTGAGATTTATTTTCACTAATATAGCATAACTAAGTCAAAGTTGTGTCGAGCATGTCAAGACCAGCCTGGTATGCAAATGTGAAAACTGGAAAAGCCTGCAAAAATATTTAATTTCAGGATCCATATACCCAAAAGGTTCTGAAAATTGCTAGCAGGTGAAACAAATAGCACCATTGGTATTAAAAGCCCAAGTCACAATCTAGATTTCTCACTTCTAGCTGCGGAAAGTGCATTGTACTGCATATAGAAAATTTACAGAACTAGCAATAATTAAATTAGAGATTTTTTTTTTTATGAAGGTTCTGTATACACAAGGATGAGAAAGGACTGGAGCGGAAGAAGGTTTAAAAAGCAAACCTTCGCAGAGCAGCAGATAATAGCATATGAGTGCTGCTCCACTATGATAAGTACAGAAAGATTGTATTAATATAACTGGCCGGTCAAAGGTAAAATCTATATATGGCAATAGCTTCATTATCATCTTTCAGTTTACACCAAATTTAATTTCCAGCCCGAGAATAGCTTCTGCTTTTCCTTCAAAAACCTTATTTCCATTAGTATTACACACAACCCGGCCCACATACTGGAACTGTGTTCACTGCTTTGCTTCCTTCATAAGGTCTTTCACTGTCCAAATCCATAAATGTTCTTCACAGTAGCTGGATGAAGGGTGTTGGGCTGGAAAAAGAACTTATCCATCTTATACTAAAAATAGCTCCAATGTGACATCTCAACATGCTTCTCTAAGTCTAGTTTGTAACACGAGGGACAGATAATACAACCACTAATATTATGTTTCTAAATGGTTAGATCGTTATGCATTCAGTATATTTCTGGAGAAGTAACTATTCCCTCTTTCATATGATTACAATGCGTTTATACCAATTCCTGTTCATGCTATTTTCCATCTTATTCATGTCCAATCAACCAATTGCTCAAGAACAATTCACTTAAGGACAACTCAATAAATAGCTTTTAAGTTTTAAGGACAACTCAATAAGTTAAGATTGAGGTAGTTTTTGAAATTGTGAAATATAAATATTTTTTCAAGACTC